ATCCCTGGCCCTGCCTGCCACTGCGAGGTGATTTAAAACCCACCGGGAGCCCGGGGACAGGTGTGTGCAGAGCCATCCGTAGGCGGAAGCTGTGAAACTGTTAACTCATTTTGTGACACTGACTAGATCTCAGTGATGCCAGCGTTCCCCCCTAAGCAGCACTGCCGCCCAGCTTCACAGGTGATTAACCGGCCCTGCCCAGTCCGTCAGCTGTGCATGGAGGCCTGAGCTAGGGGCTGATTAATCCCCAGGGAAGCTGGGCTGCCTCCCAACACCAATGCCAACACTCCTGAGTTGATCAGAAGCCTCCTGATCCTTGGGGCTTTTTAATTTTTCTGGAGAGCCCCAGCCCTGCTATTGGAATTAAGCCAGGCCTGGGAACTTCACTGTGTGGAAGCAGGACTAAGGGAGAGGGGATTTGGGTGGCCATTTCAGGGTTTGTCAGTAGCAGAGCAAGAGTCTGGTTCACTCTGACTCCTGCTAATTCGAGAGCTAGAAGAGACACTGTGTTCGCCTCTCTGCCTCACTCTCCAAGATAAGAGTGGAATGCTGACCTTGTGAGAGGACAGTGTCCAATGGAAACTGAGTGGTCAGGGAAGTAACTGTTTAATGTTATATGTAACAGAAAGGTGTATATATTGGTTTTTAATTGTTTTGTATTTGAAGATCCGCTTATGCTGTCTTCCCTTGCAAAATTGCTCAAATAAACTGCCTCTGGCAACTTTGTTACTTAAACACAACGCAGAGTGAAGGCTCGTTATCTTCCACAACAGCCTGATGCATCACTATCAACTCTTGGCAGGTTATGCTTGTTTGTTGGGGCAGAGTATTAGAAGAGCATCCCAGCCGGCTCTTTCTTTTAAACGACGATGACGTTAGGTCTAATGGTTTGTGGAGAAAAGCTAGTAAACAAGCCCTGAGTTCAGCCAAAGACCTCAAACACCAGAGGCCCAATAAGAAGCTGCCCCCCGGCGTTTTTTTATCTGAGATTTCAAGAAACTGCACTCTTTTTGGGGTTGGGTATGGGAGCGTGATTCATGAGTTTCAAATGTTTCCGGTTGACAACACAGGACATGCAAGTTGATTGGACACTTTGGCTGTGTCTACATTGGCGCAATCTTGTGCAAAAGGGGCCCTTTTGTGCCAAAACTGGCTGCCTGTCTACACTGGCTGCGAGTTCTTGCGCAAGAACACTGACGTTCTAATGTATGAAATCAAGGCTTCTTGCGCAAGAACTCTGACACTCCTGCTCAGGAATAAGCCCTTTTGTGCAACTGTTCTTGCGCAAGAGGCCAGTGTAGACAGGCAACATGAATTTCTTGTGCAAGAGAGCATCTACACTGGCATGGATGCTCTTGCACAAAGGCACGTTCCAGTGTAGACGCTCTCTTCTGGAAGAGTTTTTGCACAAGAACTCTTCCGCAAAGGAGTTCTTGCGCAAAATCATGCCAGTGTAGACGTAGCTAGAGAGACACTGACAGACTAGGATCCTACAAATGACCTAAAACAAGAGTCCTCACCCTGACACCTCCACGGCCGTGTGCTGGGATGCCCATCCCCACCGCTCACATCTGTTCCTGCACCCTGGAACCCTGTCCCTCCCTCCCACTAACATCCACAGCCTCACTCTGGGATTCCCCACCCCAGCCCAGGGTAACCAAAAACAAAATAGACTGGCCCCACCCTGCCCTACTGGCTGCAGAAGCGCATCAGCGTGGGCAGCTCCCTGGCCAGCCCAGTTTGCATCTAGGAGACGACAACACAGAGGGAGGAATCTAGCTTTGAGTGCAGGGATGCTTTTCTTGGCAGGGAATTGAGCCGAGTGTCTGTAAGCATCTTCCCAGGCTGAATCCACTGGAAACAAAACCAGCCACAAATTTACAAACTGAAGATTTTCCCTACCAGGACTTTACACGTTTCCCCCCCATAGGTGGGCCTGGGATGCCGGCTCTCTCAGCCCATTTGGACAATCTAATCCAGTGTTTCTTAAACTGTGTTGTGCAGCACACTGGTGTGCCATGGAGAACAGAATTCAAAATGGCCACCCTTAAAGGGGCAGGCAACTCCCCCCCCCCCCCCCCCCAAAAAAAATCCTTGGTGTTCCTCCAAAAAAAAAAAATTGTTTGGTGTTCCTCGGTCTTAAAGTTTAAGAAACACTGATCTAATCTGACCACCTGAGTAACACAGGGAAGAGATTCTTACCTCCAGGCCAACAAGTTGTGATTGAACAGGGACATATCTTTTAAAGACAACCACTCTCCACAGGAAAACTTCAAGTGCTGGAGAATCCATCTGATCCCTCGTGGATCTGTTCCAAGGACAGATAATCCTCACAGTTAAAAATATGCATCATGTTTCCAATGTGCAGTTTGCTTACGTCACCCTCTGGCTCTTGGATCTTGTTATGCCTTTATGTGCTACAGTATAGGAAGAGCCAATTAAGCTCCCAGCATGGGTTTGCTATATGATACTCATTTGCCATTTACTCTGTTTTTTTCTCCACTCTTGGCAGTGCAGTGTGTGACCAAAATAGAATTGCTTCACATACCCAGGAAATGTAAAGAGCCCAGACAGGTTGTTACATGAATACTGACCTTTATTAGTTTCTCTTAGAATACTGTACAAAGGAGTAATAAAAATAATATTCACACTTTGTCTTAGAAAGTTCCTCTAGATGAAACTTTTTTGCATTATTCCCCCCCCCGCCCACCAAGAGGGAATTGGAAAAAAACACAACTAAAATTCTATGTACAATGCAAGAACGTTCTATACAGAACTGATTTTGCTCACTGAAATTGACCCAAAGTGTGAATTATGCGCACGCACACTTAAAAATAGGTACCTATTGTATGCACGATGGGAAATCAAAGCATTGTCTCTCACTGTTTAAAAAAAGAAAATCACAATATGCATGATGAGATTTTGGTTGTGCTACCACCAACAGCGACCCAGCTATTGCCCCCTCTTTGAGGACCAGTACCGTTCTTTTAATATTTAAATTATTTATACACTGCAGCTGCTGTGGTGTTAAATAAACCCTCATTGACTAAACCACCTTAGATCTCAGGGCAGGGGAGAGAAGAATGTCCCAGTCAGCTGGATCATGTCAAAGGGCAGTATGGTGCCAGGTCAGCAGATGACATAAATGACTTAAGCCAGGCCAATGTCTACGAACTGGTTTATCGTTACAGATTTTGTTCCCGTTTTTGCTTCAGCAGACAAAACTACAATGCAAAGCAGCGGCAGTGTTGGAATTCACCCTGACTGCTAAGCACAGCGCCAGCTCTCAAGGCATGGGGGAAGATTTTCACTAAGGCCTAAGTGAGTTAGGGACCTAAATCCCATTGAAAGCCAAGGGGAGCCAAGCATCTAGCTCATTTAGGCACTTTGCACAAGGGTTGAATTTCACTCTGGGATCACCATCATCCTGGCTGCAGGCATATTAAAAAATTCAAGACTCTCTCAAGTCCCTCTTCTCCCCAGTTTTTTTTTTTTTTTTAATAATCCCCCTCGAAGCTTTCTTTGGAATCTTCCCTATTTTCTCCAACTCTCCATGCTAAGAATGGCCCCTCATTGGTCTTCTGATTCAGAGCTGCCATGTGTGACCCATTTCACACCGCTCCCTGGTTTGCAGAAGTGGTTTCCATGCAAAGTTTTGGGAAATCAAGAGTGTGGCTTCTTCTGTAATTTTTGGACTAGCGTTTCATTGCTGTGTCTCCCAGATCACTTACAAGTGTCTAGTGAAGGGGGCTGGTCCCCCCCACCACTTCTGAATGACATTTTAACAGACGCTACCCCTGCACACAAGGCAGCAGCTCTCTGACACACAATTACGCGTCACTCTTTAAATATGGCTACCCCTGCACACAAGGCAGCAGCTCTGACACACAATTATGCGTCACTCTTTAAATATAAACAGAAACCCCTTTAAACTGTTAAGTTCGAGGGTCTGAATTCATTTGACCCAAGCAAGGCCCCAATTCAGCAAAATGCTGAAGCACGTGCTTCAATTCCACTGCTGTTCGTGTCTTAAGCACATGCTTCCGCGTTTCACTGAAGTGCTTCCAAATGAGAAATCTGACTTTTCTATGAATCACATGCTTCCGCATTTTACTGAAGTGCTTCCAAATGAGAAATCAGACTTTTCTATGAAGATCATGCTTGTGTTAAACCTGTTTAGGAAAATGTCCACTCTGGCGTGTAAACCCAAAGGGGTTGTGGTTTTATTTTCAGTAGCTTTCCCATTCATCGTTTATTTAACAGAACTGATTGAATCTGACCAATATCACTGAATACCACAAACAGTCCAGGTCCAGATCTCAGCTGATGAAGATTGCTTTGCCCCGGCCAAGGGTCTGGTGCCGAGTGTCTATTTTTCCGCTACCAAGTCATTCCATCTTTGCATGTTTAACAGACACCAGAGAGAGAAAATGCAAACATCTACAAATATCTGGGAATAAGTAAATAAAGAAAAAAAAGCCCTTTTTATACATGGTGGGTGGGTTGTTTTAAACACAAGAATGAAGTGATTCCTGCCCCACTTCTCTGGGTTGAGATTCCCACCTTTAAAATAATTTTGTCTCGTCTCGTTAGGTTTCTATTTGTCCCCAAACCTAGATTAACACCACGCTGCGTGTTCGGTCTCTTTCAGCGGAGAAGGTTCAGCATCAGTGTTGTAATTCTGTGACCTGCCCAACATCGGCGTTTATCCTGCACCGTGCACCTTAGACTAGGCACATCTTCCCAGTGTGAAGACCGCAAGGTGGAAACCTGCGGCCTCACCGTTGCCATCTGAGGCACGAAGCTACAACGTTCATTTCTGAATCCACCCAAACCTCTGCAGAAAGCAGCACTGGCCTGAAACTATTTCTCCCCCCAAGTCACAGGCAATAGCTTGAAAAGTGCACTAGTCTTGGGGTAGATAGTACATCAACCAAAGCAGCAATCCCCTCCCATCTACATCAGGGAGGGAAAAAACAAACAAACAAAGAGCCTTGTATCAAATAAATTAACCCTTTTTCAAGAACCCAAAGCAGGTTCCTGCCTTCTCCTTCATCTAATTCTTGTCCCCATCTTCCTTTTCACTAATACTTAAAGTAGCAGTTCCGTCTTCAAAGCGCGTTGGCGACAATACGCCTCCCGGCGGCCCTGTGAGGTAGGTTAATTACTCCCCCTCTCCTCTGCAGGGTACACACGGTGAAACACAGGCAGAGCGGTGAAGCAGTTCACACAAAGGGCGGAGAGGGGGCAAGGACACAGGCTGATATTTGAAATTGGGAGGGCCTGGCTCCCACTCCTGTGCCCGGACCCTTCGATCGGGGCGTGACCGTTATCGTTTGTACCCACTGACGCGCCTGCTCGGTTCGAAAGCTACCGCTGGCTCCCGCAGGAAGGAAAAGGTCTCCTTTCAAATGTTTCTGTTCGAAACCAGGAGGCAATCAGCATCCACACCCACAAAATCACTTTCATGATTGTGCACGGGTAGCATGACAAATATAAACAGAGGCGTATTTCAACCGGCATATCGATCCTCACCCTGCCATTCAACACAGTGGCTGGCTGCTAAGCCTTCACTCTAGCTGGCCATTTGAGGTGCGTGTGTGGGGAGGGAGGAGTCAACGTTGCAACAATCCTGCATTCTGGGTCATCCAGACCTCCCTGTTATAGGAAATAGCCCCCCCTTGGCTACTGATTACCCCCAACCAGCCTTATTTATCACCCACATGGATTATCAAGCCTTGATTCAGCACTCGCTCTTCACACTAGGATTACTGCATTTGTATTGCAGATTATCATCTACATTAAAACTCCCACCTCATCCTCCAAACTGGCTCCCGATTCCCTGGATAACTAACTCATCGGCTCATCATAAGAGCCCATAGTAAAACCACACTTCTCCAGGCAGGGCTGCCTCCCACCACCAATGCAGGAGGCAGAAAACATGATCTGGAATACGCTCCGGACGCCTAAACAAAATCTAAACAAGAGTCAGACGGTTGTTAATCAGCTCCCCTTGGAGTTTCCCTGCCCCCTGCGATGCTCCACCATCCTTCACTCACTTGGGGGCAAGTTGCGCCCATTAACGGAGGGGAGCCCGCCCCCCCTTCTGGATCTATCCACCAGTTCAGGAGCAGAATAGCAGGACTGTGGATTTAAACAGGGACAGCAACTGTGGCTAAGGAAGGCGGCAGGAAAGCAAGAGTCACTTGTCTCCCTGCTGGGCCAAACACCTTCCTTGTCTGGACCCCGACGGGCAGGCAGCCTTCAGCAGCCATTCTCTGGGCATGTGACCGACGGCAGCTCTTGGATTCGCTCAGCCCCTGGGAGCAAGTTCACTGCTTCAATGACCCATCAGATCTGTTGCCCTCTTACTGACTAGCCACGTTTGCGGTCTGCCTCCACTCAGCACCACGACCATATTCCTGTTCCACAGCTCTCCCGTGGCTCCCGGGATGCTGCTGCCGGGCCTCCGGGCCCAGATGTCCGAGAACGTGCTGTCACATGCTGAGCTGCGCCCACCGTTGGTATCTGGCCAATGCCACTGATCTAGTTACAGCCATTGGCGCCCTGGGCAACGGGGTGGAAGAACAAGACCCGTTTCACCCCAGTCAGGGCTACACCCCCTGCCTGCACCAGCACCCCCGTTTCTGTACCTAGCAATAATCTTCCCTTCATCTGGGACAAACCGGTCAGCTGTCAGCCACCCCCCCTCTCCAGATCTCCCAAGTGGCTCTGACGGGCGGCGTGAACGCGTTTACACACAGAACCGCCCAGAAGTACCATCGCCCCTAACACCATCGCCCCATAGTGTTAGCCCCTACTGCCGTACCAGGCTAACACTATGGGGAGCATGTGTGAGGGGGGAGAACACCCCTGCTTTCAAACAGAATCCCTTCCGCTTTAAAACCAACACCCCCCAACGCTGGTAACAGTTTAAATTCACTGAAAAACTCGGATGTGGACTCCAATTCCCTCCTCTCCGAACGATACAAACGTTGAATCCCTTCCGCTTTAAAACCAACACCCCAACGCTGGTAACTGTTTAAATTCACTGAAAAACTCGGAAGTGGACTCCAATTCCCTCCTCTCCGAATGATACAAATGTTGGGAAATGGGGAAACTTTGCCAGAAATGCCTGGTTGCTCCTTCCTGTGTTCTCGTTGGGAAAAAAAAACCCATTCCTCCCCCGCCGGAGGAGAGAGGGGGGAAGAGAAATCCACCTCGCAAAAGCCAAGTGGCCAATTAAGGTTTTCACGCCTGGGAAATGTGGCCAAGCCCCCCCAGAATTGCCCTTTGAGTGGCATCTAGTGTCTAAAAGGATCAACGTATTGTAAAGTGCATGTGTCATACTCATACCCCTCCCGACCCTGCTCTCTCCTGTCTTGGCCTCTGGACGGGAGCCTCCCGAAAGCCTGACTATTGTACCTCAACGTCTTAGCCTATCTGCATCTACCGGAGTACAAGAAACCCCTCCCCTTCCCCGACTGCTGGCTCCCTGCTAAGCTCTACCGAGGATTCTGCTACTCCAGAGCTTGCTTAGATTTACTGGGCACCAGGATCCTGCCTGCAGTACACAAGTCTATTGGCTACTGCCTTTAAACAGCCGTCAGGAAGGTCTATCCCAGGTGGGGGGGAAGGGAGGAGGAGGACGACGACTGGATTTCCCCTCCCACCGCGGCTTGCTTCATCCGGGGGACTCAGTACTTGTTGATCCCAAAGATCCGGACTCCGTGGAGCTGGGGCAGCTTGGGGATCAAGACGCTCATGAGGGAGATGGTGTTGATGATGAAGTGTATCCGGTCGTATTTCGTGTAGAAGCTGGTGAGGAAATACCTAGGGTGGAAGAGAAGCAGCAGTTGACTCTCGGTTTCCATCGCTCCCAGGGGCTCAGCAGGATCTCGGGAGAGGCTGGTTGCACACGACTCCCTGACTGCGGTTCCTGCTCCAATCCCTGCTACTCTAGTTACGCCCACTAGTCAACCCTTCCCCCGAGTCTCGTCACCCACTCAGGGCCTCCGATCTGCACAGCACAGCCGGGTAAGTCAACACAAAACACCGGGAGCAGGTTTCTAACAGCTGGCAAGGCCCCCTTCCACAACGAGAAAGGAGGGAAATGTCGGTCTCCTTCTAGCTACGAGCTCTGGTCCCACAAGACTCAAAACAGCTGAGCCCCTTTGCAGCCGCAGCCTTGGAGTGCTTTTGGCAAAGGATGGGGCAGCACCGGGCCCTTCAGGAATATCCCAGTCGATCGCGATGGGCCCTACACTACGCACGTCGCGCTGGAGAACAACAGTTCCACGCAGACAGTGTCCCAGCAGCGATTACATCAATTGTTAATGGTAAGCAGTCAGGGGCCACACTTCTGCGGAGGGGGTGGGGTCAGGAACAGTGAATGGGTGCAGAAGGGAGCTTGGGGGAGGGGGCTGTGGTGTGGAAGAGGCTGTGAGGTCAAGGAGGGAGTTTGGGTGAAAGAGGAGGGTTGTGGAGTGAACAGAACAGGGAATCATCAAGTGATCCCTCTCCTGTCGCCCACTCCCGGCTTCTGACGGTGAAAGGGGGGAAAAGCAAGAGGTTGCCCTTGTTGATGTGGTTTTAGGGTCTGATCCAGACCCCACCATTTTGCTCCACTGGGACTCTACAGACTTTGGATTAGGGACGTTACACGGGAAGCGTGAGGCTTAGTGGGACGCTTACCGGTTAACTGAGCCTTGATGGCCAACGCCGGTGAGAGCCGGCCACGCCCGAGCAGACCCAGCTGGGGAGGGGCCGGCAGAGAAACCTCACAGCCACGGCAGGGCCCTACAGCCACAGCGGGGCTGGGCGGTAAGAGCCGAGTCAAACCGGTTAACTGGCTGAGTGCTTTCGGTGAACTGTTTTAACCTCCCTCCTTCGGATGCTCTAAAAGAATTTCTCGGTCACCTTGAACACAAATGACTGGTCTTCGCTTTCAGAGCCCTTCGCAGCCTCTCCCAACTGACTTCTCTCCCCTTCCCTCCCGAATCATTGACACCTGCCTCCGGTGAAGCCCCGGCCCCCACGTTCTCCCTCGCTGCCTTTGTGCTTGGGGGGTCGATGGCACGCTTCTGGGGGCAAGAACGGGCTTCTTCCGTGTCTGGACAGCACCTGGCATAATGAAATGCCGGATCTGGGACAGGCTCCGAGCTGCTACCAGGACACCCACAATTGCTGCCAGTCCCAGTGATGAGACAGCGGCGCTTCGAATCACCCCAGGTCTGCCCCGGTCTCTCTTTATGGGCACGGACCCAGCTGGGTCACAAGCAACAAGAAGATCTCCAAGGTTCCAGAGTTAGCTTTTGGGGGGGTGGGGCGGTTCGGGTTGGGGCAAGACCCGCCAGCCCAAAGTACTCACAGCACGATGGGCGTGATGGTCAGGAACTTGCGCGACGCCGTGAACTGCACCCCGTAGTCCATCTGCTCCCAATGCGTGAGCAAGCGGGCTTTGCCCTGGTCCGGCGTCTCGAAGGGCGTCCCCTTCACGGTGTGCAGGAAGATGTACATACTCTGCAGCAAACACGAGCAGAAGGTAAAACCTGCGCAGCCCCTTCGAGACCGGGGGCCTGGAGATATTCGTGGGACCTGGGTCATCCGCTCAGCCGTGGGAAAGGTCTCGCACTCGCAAGCTGCAAGCCAGGGTCACACCCCTAGGGGGCGACGTCGTCATCCGATAGGGGTTTTTTTTGGCATTGGCAATTCGGGTCTGGCAGGACCGGAGCCGGTTACAACCCAAAACCTGCGCAGCCCCTTCGAGACCGGGGGCCTGGAGATATTCGTGGGACCTGGGTCATCCGCTCAGCCGTGGGAAAGGTCTCGCACTCGCAAGCTGCAAGCCAGGGTCACACCCCTAGGGGGCGACGTCGTCATCCGATAGGGGTTTTTTTTGGCATTGGCAATTCGGGTCTGGCAGGACCGGAGCCGGTTACAACCCAGCTACGAGGGTCGGGCGCTGGAGCTCTGGCTGTAGCGGCTCCTGTATTTAGCTCTGGAGCACCGTGGGGCCCTGGCCACAACCGAGTCGTCCACGGTAGTCCAGTGCTGGGCCGTAATTGTTAATGGTAAGCAGTCAGGGGCCACACTTCTGCGGAGGGGGTGGGGTCAGGAACAGTGAATGGGTGAAGAAGGGAGCTTGGGGGAGGGGGCTGTGGTGTGGAAGAGGATGTGAGGTCAAGGAGGGAGTTTGGGTGAAAGAGGAGGGTTGTGGTCTGGGGCAGGAGCTTGGGGTACAGGGCTGGGGAGGGGGGATGGGTACAGGAGAGGATTCTGGCCTGGGGAGGGGTACAGAGGGGGTGCAGGGTCTGGGAGGGTGTTGTGGCCTGGAGGAGGTGGGGAGGGGG